TTTTTTTTTGTAATTCCCATTGGTATTAATATCGCAGAAGTGATTCCAAGCTACTCCTATCAAGATTCTTTTTTTTTTTTTTTTTTTTTTCTTTTTTTTTTTTTTTCTTTTTTTTTTTCACCGACTTATCCGTACTTTATGTTTTCCAATCTAATCTTTATTTATTTTCTTAAGTCCCGATCTACGCCTTTTTACAATTTTCGACCATTATCCAACCACAATTAACAAAAGGAAACATCAATAAACTCAATTTCTTTCACCCAACTCCTAGCGTCAACTAAATAATTTATTCATTTCCACTATGAAAGATCATTTATGCCTTAATTAATGAATATGATTAGCAAAGGCCCCTAAATTAGCCCTATAATACTTAAGCTAACGTTAAATTTCTCCATCCAAAGGGTAAAATATAGCTATCAATTTATTATTCATCCTTTACTTATTTATGTCTAGCAAGTATTTATGATTTTCCTTAAATTTATCCATGTAACCTTATCACTTTCGAGTTCTCAGTTTTTAGCCACACTGCCACTTATTATTATCTAACCTCGGACCTGAGGCTGGTCTTCTCCTTTCGCGACATGTCATTTATCCATTACTTACGATTCACTTCACTAGCTTTTTTATTCTCTTCTGTAAGGATTTAAAATATTAATGTTAACTTATTGAAAAGCTGAAGAAATTAATTGCACATATTTCCATTGAACTCCAAATTCCTCTAGAGTTAAAACTTTTCTTATATCTCAACAAATTACCAGGAAATATTAAAATTTTCCACAATCAAATCTCTTTAGTTCTGATTTCACAATACTACAGTTAAAAGGTATAGTATAACTTTCAATTCTAAATGTCATCTATTCTAAGTTTCTTGATGTATTTCTTATTCTTGAGAAAATTTTCATTTAATGAGTTCATTTATAATAATAGTCTACAACACTATTATCTCATATCAAGCCATTTCATCAATGTTAATCTACTAAAGATTTTGACAAGAACTAAGATCCTTCATTATTCATTATTTTCCACTATACATTTTCAACCGTTATAAATTATTTAGATTAATTGTTATCAAAATTCGGATAATGAGTTTGAGAAACTAAGCCTAGGTGACCATCCTTATGGGTAATCACATCTGACTATTTAGAAACTTTCAAAATTAATATTTCCTTTCCAATTTTAAAACATCGCATGTACTCACACAAAACCTATTGAAATTCTTTGATAGCAATTTGCATTACTTTTATTTTAAACAATCTCATCGGTGGTATAAAAAATATTTATAAAAGTTTAGAAAATCAACAACTCATTGTATTTTCTAAAACCTTTTGGTATTTAACAAAAATGAATTATCTATTCACGAGGACATCCGTAAATCATGTTATTTCCAGTCTTACTGTTACATATTTCATGAATGGCCTCTAAGGACAAGAATATGTCAATCTCCATCATACTTTCCTTCGACTCATTGTTACTAGTTCTCTCAGTAGTAGTTGTCCACAACCTTTAAATTTTGTCTCTCTCAAATTATGTTTCAGTAGTGATTTTATATTTATATTAATTTATTTATATTTATATTATTATATCTTTATTTATTTCTTACTATTTTATCATCTTGCATATTTCTTACATCTGAATTTTACTCCTTCCTCAATTTGTTTCTAATTATTTATTCTAGTATTTCATCGTGGATTAATTGACCATATTATCATCATTAACTTTACTACTATTTAGCATCCCCTAATTTTATACAAGTTCTTTAGATTTTTTTTTTTATTATTCATTCTAATCTTCCTTTTATCCTCCATATCTTCTTAGTATACTCAACCTCATTTAAGTCTTATCCGTAAAAGAATTTAATGGTGGGTACATGAATCTATGGCGTGAAACCGTTATTCTACACAAAATTTAATTCCGTCGTAGAGTCATTATTTCTTGGAAATTTCCTTATTCTAATTTTTATTTTTTTTTTATCTCTACTCATCATTATAGAATCTTTGACCTTTATTCTCTTCCAAAATTATTAACTTTTAATTTTATTTTATTTATTTTTAGCACCTCGACTCTAAAATTTGTACTTAATTCTTAAAGCAGGTCTTTATAAACCGTTTCATCATTTACCTAGATATAAATGTATGATTTAAGTCCTTTCTACATAACTCTCTACCTAATAATCCAATTTCGCTTATTTATTAAGCTTCCATACAGCATCACGTTCCTTGTCCCCATCATTCCCATTATTCATTCATCTGCTATTCTTTGTATTTTATATAGATTTATAACCTTAGTCTAGCCCTGTTAAGCATTCCTCTTGCTAGGATTTTATTAATAATATCCTATCACTACTACACTTTCACCTTATAAATTTTAGATATAACCC